TGCCTGCGCGCCAGCGCGCCTGCCTGCGGACTATGAAAGCAGCCAATGACAAAATACAGCTATTCAATAAGTGACTTAAGATGCGGAAAAGTTTTCGAAACTTCACTCTTCGATGGAAAAACGGAATTCGAAAAGAAAGGAACAAGAGGGATTGCTGGTCTAGACAATGGTAAAATGCTGAGAAGAGGTCCTCTGCTGTAGAACATGAGGATTAATTTATTGAAGGTAATCTCGCAGACTCGACTTCAGCTTCGCAGATAGCGTATTCTGCCCTAATTGGAGCTAATCCTAGAGGAAAAGATGGTTTTCATCGAGGGAGACTAATACCTTTTGAATGACTTACGGCAGTATTCAAAGTTGTGGAATCTCTTGAAATTTTTTAGAATGAAAAACGACATCATCAGTAGAACGACCTAATAGCTACCGAAAGCGGTTGCTATTCAAGCTGGAGACTCGACTGAAACCATTTTACTAACTATGAAAAGCTCTACACCGCTCGAATTTATTTTCAAATTGCCTCACCTTCAGCGGGTTCAAATTACCAGCACTAGCGTGTCGTGGCAGCCCACAGTTAGGAAGAACTGTCAATCACCCTCAGAATGCTTTCGAATACCTGACAATGTCTAATAATAATAGCACTTTAATGGCCCTAGCCGAGCTACTGAGAACTGCCGCGGCGATCGTGGTGGCCATCTACTGCACTCCATTGACCTCTCCTATTTCTCTTCTCTCTTCTCCTTTATGCGACGCGCCTGTTTACAGTGGCATTCGCCTTGATCTTCGCCAAAGATACTGAGTGAATGACCCCCCGACATCCTCTCTTAGAGTCTCTCAACGAGGTAGATAAATCATTATTGGAATGCATGTCTAGCGAAGACATTTGACAGTTGAAATTCTTGATGGGTCAGAGTGAGCTCAAAGGCACAGTTCACGATAACTTTGAGGTACCCCTTTTTAGTCAAAAAGCGGTAGTATAGGCTGGAAATAGTTCATCGGTAGTGAAGAAAGCGAGAAAATTCGCCGATTTCAAGGAAAATAAGGCTCTCTAAAGGCAGGGATTCTAGAGGTTGGACGAGGTTACCATGACGGAAATCACATGGAAGGAGTATTTGGACGAGATTCCAGTTGTTGCAATTGCGCAAACAATTGACTACATCAAGCCAGAACTCTACAGAACTATGGTCCACTGTCACTATGGGTCATAACAAGTTTTTGATCTCCGTACATTGGCTTTCTTGCAAGTGGTGCAGCCTCGACAATTTCGGTGAAACTCGTCCGAAGACACACGCGATGCAATCTTTGAGCCTTTATGAAGTCCCCACTGGGCCGTCTCCTGGTATGGCAGCGCCTCAAGCGACATACGGGGTCCTACAAATCCATTTTAGCGGCATACCTCAAAGGTCATTTTTGTCGTAAACCGTGCCTTCAAGAATGGACAGCCCGTTAATTACTGCACATGCTTTACTACTCCTAGGAACCTTGGTCTTAATCTGTCAAAGTAATAACCTGCGTTCCCATTAGTTTAAGGACTGTTTTCCGTCTTTTCGTTTGAATCGAGCCGTCACCGATCGCTTGCGAAGGCGGAACCTGCTTCGTTGTCACACGCCATGTCACCTTCGATAGCGTCTTGCTAATGTTATGAACTCATTCCCATCCATTTCCTATTGCTATTGCTTCGAACGGGTGGTATTCCATATGATCTCATTAGGTATTGGACAGTTCTCAATGAAAAATCTACGAACTCATTCCTCGAACTTTATCTATCATGGCTTCAGTTGATACCTGATTAGGCGTATTAGGATAGGCAAGCTATCAATGGGGAATCCCCTTGAGGTATTCACCTTCACCGATGTCGTCATCGTGCCCTAATGGCAGTCGAATTTTCTTGGAACCCCTGACCATCGCCACGTATCGTCCTCGACTCTTCATTGCTAATGTTTCGTTCCCACCTCTCCCATCTTCTCTCTCTCTCCGTCTTCTGTCGATGACCTTCGAGGCGTTCCCTGACAGTGATCGGAGCCGATTATCGCCGATTTGTGCTCTTCCCACCCCCATTTCCCTACAACACCTTTATACCAACTTACAACGACAACATTCCTACATATGACATCATTTTTGAGTTTTGAATCTGATGTTTTCTTTTTCAGTTCTGCAGTTCGAAAAACATCAATGTTTGAGCGAAGCCTTATCTCTCCCTAATGATGATAAAATTTGGAACACAGCTTGTTATATAAAAATTATTTGGTGAATAATACTTCTCTGTGAGCTTTTGACATCATATATTTACAGAAGTACACTTCTTCATAGAATAACCTCTGAAAAAATCTTTATTGGATAAGCCGTCAGAAATTTTCCACATGTTGAATGCTTGAGGAAACAGCAAGTAGAATGATTTGGTTTCCTGCCTACTTGTTTGAATGTTTCCATGTCTTCATTGACCCTTACAGAAAATCAGCAGATACAAGTATGAAGCAGGCATTGAAGTGGGCAGATGGGCTCTTGTTCAAGAGGTGTTCATAGCTCCTCTGTTTAAAAATCTCGGGAATTCTGCCTGTAACAATCCAGGAGCAAGTCCCTTTCATAATCTCCTATTATCTGTCGTTGAGTATTCTATTTTGACTGATGATGGCACTAACTATTGCACAATCGATCGAAACCTGATGTATTTTTACAACTACCCATCTGCTCTCCATTTATTTCGTGATTTGTTGGCTGTTTGGTCTGAACCGACCTCTTCTCTGTTTATTTCGTGACTCGTTGGGTGTCTGGCCCAAAATCGTCGATTCCAGACTTGGCTTCAAGGTGGCGTCGATGAAATCCTAGCTAATCGTAGCCACTGCTGTCTTTCGAATACACAAAAGCCGCCCAGATTCATCGACGCCCTCGCTTTGCAACTCTCCATCTTCTTTCCAGACCAATTTCATTCGTTTTTGGTAGAAGTAGCGACTGATACAGCTCAATGGTCTTTATAGAGTTGTTGGAGGAAGAATGATTGAATCGCTTCATCTATCTGAAGTTTCTGTAGTAAGAACAGCACATTGGCCTAATCTTCCACTCCATTCGGTCAACAAAAAAGTTCCAACACAGCCCTCTTTTCATGATCGTCATAGCATTCCATACTGTTGCTTTATTGTCCCATAGACCAGCAACAAGCAGATTCTTTTGGACTCTCTTTACAAGTTGATGTGGACCTGGACGTCTTTAGGGAACATAGAACGTAACCGACTTCTCCTACTTAGCATAGCTTTCTTTAGCTGTGTGCTCAGCGGTCGTCAAGTACAGTTTCTCTGTTCGACAGACTTTTTTATGATTAATGGTCCCAATTAATGGTCCCAATCATCCCTTCGGCCGAGTTCAAGTTCACTTCAACGAAAATGGTTCCGAAGTCTAGAGCGGACTCGGGGAAGGGGAAGAAGGATTCTTTCATCGAAGGGGTGTTTGGCTGCTTAGGGTTCCCACACCTCGTTCTGATGTCTAATCAACCCACTATCGATAACTCAATCGAGTAGTTTCGAATTAACTTTTCACAGTTACAACGACGTGAAGAGAAGTGGTAACTGTACAATCAATGCTATTCCTACTTCGGTATTTATTTCATATTGATTTCATCAAATGATTTTCCTTCAAAGACGTGGATGCACCGTGTTTGGTCACAATATTTGCCATTCGTGCACGACTTTGCAAAACACCTTCTGAGGACTCCTCGACCATCACATGTTATCAACTTCACTCGAGCTCTTTCTTTCCCGTTCTCGTTTTTTCTTTACCAATAGAAACTTTCCTATTTAAGGATAAGTTCTGACGTTCCTTCTGAATAGGACTTCAAAAAGAGACATAAATGAAACTGGTTGAGAGGAGGGTAATGTGCAGTGAGGACGGCTGCTGGCCCTTGTATGAACCTCTTTTGAGCTACTAAGTCTCTATAATAATAAAAAGCACTCCATGACTTCCTTTATTACCCTCGCGCTGCCTTCATTATGCAGTGTTTTAGACATGTTCATTATACTCCCCTCTCTGGCTCTGGATCGCTCGAAAATAACTTTTATCCAGCTGAGGCCGATTTTCTCTGACTCTTCCTGTTCCGACTGGCAGCCCTCTTCCCAGGCCACTTCTGAACGAATGGCTCACGCTAATCGAGAATGTACATCGAAAAACTCCAAATTAGCCGAAATCGTTCCTCACCCTCTAGGCGTTATCCCGGTGCATGGTCCGAAAAACAGCTTTTTGGCAGAAACCCTTTATGGATACCTAAGCTACCCCAGTAGGCAGCAACTACAACTCTGTACCGAACATTTTTCTAAGCAGTTACTCACCTGTCCAGCAATCGCACAGAAATGAAGTCAATGAAGCTTAACAATTCCTCTCTTTATCTTCAAACTCTTGAAAGCTCCCTAGACGCGATAGAACGAAGCGAAAGCTGCAAAAGAAAGCTTGAGCTGCAGCTCCTATTTAGCTACAGTAGCTTTTTGATATGCTGGAAATTGGCCCATCTGGGTATGAAAGGCAGAGTAGCAAACATTATCAAGGAATGGACTCCTCGGATCCAGTTTTCCACTGAACTCCACCCTGATCTGCACTCGTTGTAACTCTTCCGAAAACCTCTTCAATTCTACGTCCCTATGACGCTCTCTCTGCTTGTCTGCCGTCTATTTGCTCTCTGACTAATGCGCGACGTCTACTGTAACTTGCCGCCCCCGGTTAGAGGCCCCCTCCACACAATTATACTCGAATATACTACTCTCGACAGCGTTCTGCGGCTTCCGGAATGAGAAATGTTAGTTTTTGAAGAAGTTATTGATTTTCGTACAAGGCCGTTCACTTTTTAATCCATTCATTGATCACTGAACCATATTGTCATGAAGGGAGGCTCTTTCTTTTGTGAAAACTGGTATTGCGAGAGCGTGTTTTGCCCATTATGTGATTTTGAATGGAACCATTATCGTTTAACGTATCGTTTATTGATCGCCATTGATTTTTAGCGACGTATGTCGTCTGGAGCGGATTTCGCCCGGAAGGGCTCGCTTACATTCGCTATCATATTGTCTGTGATTGCCATGGGGCTAAGCATCGCAGCCATATTAACACCCAGCTGGCAGGTGAGATATTGATCGATTAATTCTAATTCATGAAGTTGGTTCAATCAATAACGTGAAAACCCTTTCCTCTTTTGGGTCGATCCACTTGAGCTTTGAGCGACGACCTCACTTACTGAAGCGGAAAACATGCCAGTATTGATTGAACCAGAGTGGATTGAAATGTTGTTTACAATTCATAAGTGTTACAGGGGTTACAGGGGGGACTTTCCTGGATTTTTGAGAGTTTACTTCCCCCATGAGTTTCTATTCTTCCACTCATCGATTTTCGCGTTTCCAAGCCGACCGCACGCCTTTTAAGCCCTCGAAAACCTGCTCAGACTCCAGTATAAGGGAAGAAAGTGATGGGTTCATACCACTGCAGTGCCCCTGCAAAACGTGAAATTCGTTCCCGATTGTTAAGCAGTTATAGGCCCAGAAGAGTGCTTTCCTGAACAGTGGAACTCGGTTTTGTGGGTGCGAGGTCGTAGCTGACCTTATCCGCTCCAGTCACCTGTCTTCAAAGCGAACGGCACACTAGAAGCATTGAAAGAGCGGATGGACCGAAAAAGAACTTAGGTGGCCTCCTGCTAGGTGAATTAATATTGCTAAGGCCTTAATCTCGATCCACATATGTACTTCAAGTAGAAAACAGCTTTAGATGGATTTCGTGAGTCAATCATTACCTCTGAAGGTCGGTTCTGAAGGTCAGGAAAGTGGGGAAAAACCGCGTGTTTTGACGCTGGAATGTTCCATTCCAAAGTCTTGTGACGCTTGATTGTTGTCCATTGAATCTTGTTCGGTTGCTTTCGGAAACCCAACGCTCTCCACTCACGTGAAAAGATAATGTTGGACAACAACAACAGCCAAAAACTCGTGTTGGTCATCGGATAGGATCTAGTGGAAGGGTAGTAGAAGCACATCTTTCCAACTTGTGATACAGAAGATGGACTGCTAAGTTCCCTATTACGGAAAATATGATTCTGCTTCATACGATTATATCATTCCTGCATTGCTCAACCACTGAAGGCCAACAGGATTTCCAGAAGGATTCTCGAGATAAAAGAGTAGAACAGAATTCTTCCAAAGGACACTACAGATGTATCTAATCAAGTCCAGTTCCTGAAAACAAAAGCATAAGAGGAAATTTCAGTTTAGGTATTCAGGTTTTTCCGAATTTTTTTATAATTTTTTTTGTCAGATCCATACAATCTATCACATATCCATATCATTTGAGCAAAAAGTGGAAGCAGTTCCCCCTGGAAACTGAGGGTAGTTCACCTTGTGGACCTTGTCGAAGATCGCTGCTTTCTGGTCTTCAAAATTTTGTTTACAAAACTGCACTTCATACAATCCATCTATGAGATGAGTTCCAACTGAATGAGAACGATATGAACTTATTGAAATGTGTCTAGAAACGACACGCTTGCTCATTATGATTTCCAAGAAATTGACTAAGTTCAGGTGGTGAATCTGCGTGAGTACAATTCGATCCACGAGCACGGACTATGGCTCGATTGCACGCGGCACAGTCGTGATGGAAACCATATTTTGCAACGGTACGAACCCTTCCTCAACTTCCATAATAAGCTTGCAAAGTCCGAGCAACTAGTAAAGTGCTTTGTATGCTCCCCTATTTTCCTTCTGATGTGGTGTTTTTGGGTTGGGCTTCAAGTGAGAAAAATGAATCAATCAAGGCGATCTTTCTGCCAACGATAGAGAGCCTCTGGAAATTACATGAACTAATTCAATTAGCCGTTCTGCTGTTCAGATATGCAACCGTAACCGAGCCACTACACTGTGTGTACAAGTTCGATTACGACAAATACTCAGGCACGTTCGACCTCGAAGATGACAACAGCCCAGTCGGCGAGGTGAATCGGCACAAGTTCTATGGTACGTTAATGCCTATTGTTGAGATTCCTTCTTATTTAGAGATATCAAAATTGTTTTTGAATTTGATCCGAGCTTGAGTTCAGAAAATTCAGTGGAATTACAGTCTTCTCTGGGCTTTGTTTCTACAGGTTATCATTTAATGGTCACAGAAGACGAGATTTTATCTGGTCCTTGATAAGAAAAATATCTGATGCCATGCGATTAGTGCCACAGTCGACCAGCGATGGCTGTCTCACCTTGGTTGATCACCCACCTCATCGGTGATCGGAGGGGACAGCTAGACTGAGGAGATTTCGTGATTGGGTGTTTGTGTTGGGCAACACAAGGGCATTCTTGACATTCCGCATGGATTCACCTTCGTGCAATAGTGCCTATTTTCGATTTTAAGTCAAGTATCACGTGCCAGTCTTGTAATCAGCTGAAAAAGGTAGTTCTGGGTAGGAGTGAGGTCGGGCACTCTGCTCTTACTGTAACTCCCTAGCTTCCCACGGATACGCCGTGTCCATGCCTTAGGCCCCTTTTAAGTGTCCTATATGTGGCAGATGAGAACTTGTGTATCAAAATGGGGTTTCCGTCATTTATTTTCGTCTCTGTATGAGGTTAAAGATGCTCCTCGTTGACTCAGCCACTCCATTCGGTCTCTTGATGACGGCACCTCCTTCGTTGGTCTTCCATCCCGGCCTGCTCTTTGTGCTTACAAGCAGAACTTGACTTCTCGCGTATGCTCTTCCTAGGTGCTGGAATGATCCTTGATGATGAACAGAATCTTTGAGCACGTTCCGTCCCTCATTCTACTGTAATATTACTCAGAGCCAACCTCGTGGCTGGATAATTAGCATCGTATACAAAAGAAGTGTCAACGTAGGACGACAACATCGATTCCAGATGGGGCCGCCAAATCCGGTTTCCAGCCACCGATCACACATATCGTCAATTGGTCTCTGAGCGCGATGAGTAATGCAAACTCGAACAGTAATGCAGGATGAGTCATCGGATGGTGGTCGTTATCGTCAAACATTCGCCCACTGAAGACCTAATTGTTCCGGAGATTTCGAGGAATCGCAAGGATTTCATCCGGGACTATTCAGCTGAAAAAAAAAACAATCCAGAACCATCCCAAATCCCTATCAGATGATATTTTAGGTGGGCCAATCATGTAAATGGGTCTGTAGCGTTCGTGTATGTAAAGGTGGAGGTCTGCCCGCTTGCAAACAGGAAATTTATGCCCGTGAAGTGATTTTTGATGATGCCCTCCCCTTCAGAGTTCGAACCCATGCATCAATGTCACCGTTATCTAGAATGAACCTTGTAAACAATCTGCGTTATTGTTTTCAATTCTTGTCCCCTTTTTTATACATTCGTTGAATGACTCACCATCCGGATTCCCACCAGGAGAGGACGATTTTCCACATGTGACTCATGAACGGGGCGCTAAGAATTGGGGCGCTGGCCAGGAAAAAACGGTGCTTACTGGACAATAGCGATTAAGTCGGCTATGGGAGGTCGTCAACAAAAGGGGTTTAAAGGAAAATAAAATCGTTTTTTGATATTTGAAAAATAGTTTCTTTATTCCGCAAAATGAAATGGAGGAGTGAATTAAAGGGGAATAACGATAAGACCTAAGAAGATCTTTGAAGTGCGGGGATTTTGATTGGATTGCCGACGGTGCATATTGTAAATACTGGAGGTCTAATAATGTCGTATATGGTGCTTTCTAATCATCATATGATTTCAGGATGGCATACAGCGACGTTGATTTTACTCGGATTCGCTTTGATTACGACGTTTTTGTCGATCTGCCTCGGAATGTGCGCATGTTGCTACGGTTCACTCAGCCTTGTCTTCACCGCCGCCACACTCCTCTCCAGTAAGGAAATTTTCACTGACGATGACATTGATTAATTTATTCGTTCTATCTTAATGGGTGCAAGTGAAAGTTCTTGGCCGAGCAAGGTTCTTGGGTGAAGTATTTCATGAATCTGATGGCCTAATGTTCCGACACGATTGTCTCCTTCAAAGGGCGAGGTTTTACCGCTCAGGCGGAAAAAATTTGCTGCCGCCCCAGGCCACTGTCAATAGCCAGAGGGGAAGAACTCTTTTTTTTGCCGACAAAGCTCCAGATACAGTAGCGCTCAAACGTATTCGTCCAAATGCTTCTTCACTCGTACTTTCAGAGATCGTTTTGAGAGTTACAAAAATAAAAATACGGAAAATCAATTCATAGGGGTTAGTGATTTTCCTAATTCGTACTATTTCAGCCTTCCTTTCATCCGTTGCTGTAGGCATATTCTTCTTCTACTCACACCGTGCCGATAATCGTTTCATTAAAGGAATTGTGGGGACATACGAGGTTTGACTTGGAATTTACAGCCAGTTCATTTCCATTTTAACGAAAAATAATTCGAGATTTTTTTAATGAAGTGGTTTACTTGCCAAGTACTCGCAAACTTATTTGCCACCTAAACTCAAATAATTTTCAGCAAAGAGTCGGCATAGCCTTCTTCCTTGAAATGGCTGCCGCTTTTGTTCATTTCATCGCTTTCCTTGTTTCTATGGTTTCCACCTATTTCTCTTTTGCCGCGTCCAAAGACGCTCCAGATCACTATAGCCTTCAGCGTAGTTCGCGAACGAATATCACGAACATAGGCAGGTAAGGTATTCCTTCTTCCACAGACGCTTTATTTCTTTAGCTAGGGACATTAGAAGAGCACAATTTCACTTCAGATCGATGGAGTTCGATGCACCGTTGATGTATCAATCATCACAGACCCCTCAGTCGATCATACGACAACCCTACTCAAAACAGGAAGAGTATGATCGAACAGTAGCTGAAAGCATGCCCGAATTGGGAATGAACAGGTCAGATCTGTTTGATCTAGTATGAATAGCTCGAACTAGTTTTTTAAACACCTACCCTCTTGTCTAACGGTGGGTTTCTTGGATATGTGCGGTTCCAGAATTAAAATCTTTTATAAGGCAAAATGGATTACTACTCACCGCGCATAGAACTCTTCTCACACTCTCAGCGATCGGAATACTCAAGTTATCTTTTTCTGTTTGCTCGTTCTCGCCTCTTATGACATCCTTTTCTTCTTCTTCAAGTAATATCCTTAAATTTGAAGCTTCGCCTATTTGGTAAGTACGTAATGTCCGTGAAATTAGTCACTGTGGGACAGCGCAGTTGAATCAATCACCAATCTTCCTGCTTTTGAGCATTTCCAGTGGCTCACTACATATATTTTTATCCAGAATGATGTAAATGAGTAAGGCTACCTGTCGATCCGTTTGTGATCCTGGTATCACCACCCACGATGATGGCTAGGGAACGGGAACATGTTTCAAACCATCATCTGATAATTGGAACAGTGTATGATCGGAAAACAAAAAGGAATTTTCACTTTGCTTCACATAAACTCAAGCTTTTGCATAAGACTTCCTCCCTCACGGAATGCCTCGAAGACATTTTACACGTTTCCGTAACTTCATTGGCGGATAGTTGTTGACTGATTCTTCCCATTTATTCAGGTTTCCATATTGTAGGACCCTCCCAGAGTATTTAAACCAGTGAACATACACTGAAAATACCTTTGTGATTTATAGTATTGTCACGAAATTTTAGGGGTGCATTCCCTTCGTCCGATTTCTTCCCACAAAGAATACGCCGGAAGAGCGAGACATGTGTCTGAAAACTCCGTTTACAAATAGTCGTATATCAAGTGCTGTTGATTGCTTCACTGCCAGTTTTTTGCCGAAAATGTTCCTATTCTCTCTACGCCTGATTTATTGAACGCATTACAATGCTGTGTTTAGAAACGTTAAGTGATTCCCGGTGAAACTAAGTGAGTGAAGTTTGTAAGTTTGCTCAGTGCTCGTTCCCCACTTCCCAAGACTACGGCCAACACATTGCCAACTGATGTCCCTTTTTTCGTTAATGATACGTGAAGCAACACAGTGTTCCCCATTTCATGGCTGGACTCGTACTCAGCCCCATCCCGTACCATCCCACTCATCATTGCTCCACATTAGCCAGATTGCAAAGTCCGCGGTTCTTACGATTCAGTTGTAAGGACTGTGAGTCATAGCTCCCGTAGCGTAATGTAACCAAAACATTTGGGAGTATTCCCACGTGGGACTTGCCACCTACCACATTTGATGTACCGTACATGTAAAGGGTTTTCTTTTGTCGTCTGATGTCTCGTTTATCTCACAGCATGATTACTGTATCACAGAATACGTGGACTGCGGAATCTGTCTTGTTTGCTCCATTCATATGCTTTCTTACTGTGTTATACTTTTGACGACTTACTTTGTTATTACATGAATCTATCGATACCGTATTTTCACCTATTCATTTGTTTATTTGCGACGTTTGAAATTCAGGAAATTTGTCAGTGCGTGGTCTCTGAAGCATTATTTATCCTCATTCGGAGTCTCTATAGATTTTTGTCCTTTCATTGCCTTGTCTTTACGCTTTTATCATTACGGCATTAATTTTTATTGTCATTTATGGATATAAAAGAATCGAATTCGATATATCGTAGTATCATGTCCCTCATACCAATTGATTCATTGTGCGTGCCGCATCTTGCCTGCTGTATAATATTGTATTTTATATCTCTTTATTTCTCGCGTTTTTCACTTGATTGTATTTTGCCTTTCAGCGATGAAATATTTATTGCAAAAGAATTGTGTTAACTAATAAACAGCTGGTACAAGTTTGGGTAAGTATGCATTGGGTAAAATCCCACTTATCACCCCAATGTAGCTTGATCTGGGAGATGTACATGACAGATTCCCGTGAATACCTTACCCTACAAGCTACTATTCTTATAATTAGGAACAAAATCGAAATTGCTCCT